AAAGGGCTGGAGCTGGGGCAGGCAGGGCAGCTGTGTGTGGGGGGAGCTGGGACAGCAGTGGGGGGTCGGGGGGTCGTGCAGAGTCCCTTCCATGCAGCATGGGGCAGTGGGGATCACCCTCTGCCAGGCAGGGGCCAGTAAGTGCAGGCTTTTTTTTCCAAAGAGCCAGGAGCTGGTGCAGGCGGGGCAGCCATTGCTGGGCTGGGAGGGCAGGTGGAGGATGGGCCTGGGTGATTCTGCAGGAGCCAAATCTCCAAATCAAATTCATCTGAATTGATTCGGGGCAGTGATTCAAATCACCAACTCAAAAAACTGCCCCCTGAATCGACCCAATCCGAAGCGAATACTAGCCACTTTGCACAGGCCTAGTATTAAACCTTGAAGAGTTTTGTGATATTCCTGCACAGCTCTGCTTATGAACACACATCCTATTTTCAGATGTGACTTACTGTTAGAAAGCAATCTGTACCCTCGGCAGCAGCACCTGGTATCAGTGGCATCAGCTGCAAGGGTTAAGCAAACTGCCTGCAGAATAGACTGGGCTTAGTATATAAACTCAGGCCCTCCAGTTGAGCCTTTGCTGCTCAATGTCTCACACCCTGCAGCAGCTCCCAGCTTTGCTCTAATCCTTGATCCTGCCTTACCTCTACCTTGAACTCTAGTACCTTACTCCTGCTTACCCTGTCATGTGTTCTGAGCTCTCTGACCTGACCTAGACTACAAACTTGGATATCACTACAGGCTAGGAACATAATTTGGACTCCCTGGTTCTGATCCCTTTTGTTCAGTCTCAGCCCCTGATCTGCATTCCTCACAGATACAGGTACTAATTTAATGCCATACTACTTAAGACTGCATATGCCCTAGTCCCTGGACTTAGGCTCATAATGGGTTTATGGACAGGAGAAGATGGGATTTAGTTTGTACTAAGCTCTTGTTCTACCTTTCTGTTCTACAGCGTATTAGTCCACTGGTCAATAGTTAACATAAACAAATATTTAGTTGGGCATATCTGTATTGTGTACTGCTTTGTTAGTCCTCCATGTGCCATGCCAAACTTGCATCCCACCAAAACAAATCTATCTATAACTGTATGTCCTCTGCTGGAACAAATCTCACCTCTCTGCCCTAATCCTTGCACAAATCCAGAATCAGTCCATTTGCTGTTGTAAGACTCCTGGAGACAACACCAACACATTACAACTGGTATAGCTGCACTTCAGCCCTGTATCATACTTTATGTATGCGCTGACATTCTGGATCTATGGAGATATGAATATTTACAAGGCTATCACCAAAGGATTAGCAAAGTGGCAAATGAGCTGCCATGGAATGCAGATGCAAAAGAAAGGATTTGAAATCTACAGGCAAGGTAACCAGAAACAAAAATTTGGGCAGGGCTCAAGCCACCTTATGCCATGTTATGGGGAGGTGAGTAAGGCTTTGTTATGAAACAAGCTGCTGTTTCTGCAGGCGGCAATAAGACCGCTGAAGGCAACTGGGACTCCGAGACCTGCATGGATTCTGTTGAAGATGTGCCTGACGGTCAGGACCAGTTCAGGCACATCTTCAGGCACAGGACCAGTATATCTGAGAGCCTGAATTAAGATAGGAATGCAAGACAAAGGTACTTGTTTATATGTCTGTCCTGTTAGCCTGGCTAAGTATCTTTCTTTTGACTCACTAGATCCACTTATTATATTGTTTGTACTATGTACTGTGGCATGCACTTAGGTCTTTGGGTTTTTTTTCCTGGTACACCCTGGGCACCAATATCTGGAGAAGATGCAGACCTGTCAGAGTTCTATTGCTGCCACTGTACACTCAAAATGGCAATTGCACTAGTGATGGAGGGAAATCTGTTCCAACTCAGTTTTGAAAGTCCTGTCCACACAGCTGAGCTGTCACCTACTCTCAGGCTACCTCTCACTCTGGCCCAACTCCCTTTTTCAGCCTCCTGTCAGTAAACCACTGGGCTCTCCTCATACTCAGTATGAAGATCATGCTGAGGCCAAATGGAAAACAGCATACCTGGATGGGAATGGAACAGTTCAGTTCATTTCAACCACCCATCCACATTCCACCCTGTTTCTCTTCCTCAGTTTCCCCTGCCCCACTCCTGTTGTGGC